GATATTTTTCATATGAGGTGTATTTTTATGTTTCCGGAGCTGTAGATTTTGAAAATGACCTCCATTTTAAAATTAGGCCACCGCGTTTCGACTTATTTGAGTTTTTCGGATATTTTTCATATGAGGGTGTATTTTTATGTTTCCGGAGCTGTAGATTTTGAAAATGACCTCCATTTTAAGATTAGGCCACCGCGTTTCGACTTATTTGAGTTTTTCGGATATTTTTCATATGAGGGTGTATTTTTATGTTTCCAGAGCTGTAGATTTTGAAAATGACCTCCATTTTATGATGACGCCATTGCATTTTGACTTATTTAAGTTTTTCGAATTTATCCAATTTAAAGGTCTACTTTTATGTTTTCGGAACCGTAGATTCTGAAAATGACCTCTATTTTATGATTACGCAACTGCGTTTCAACTTATTTAAATTTTTAGAATTTAACAAGTATAAAGGTCTAATTTTATGTTTCTGGAGCAGTAGATTTCCCCCATTTTGTAAATGACCCAATTTAAAGTTTATTCCACTGTTTTGGATTATAAAAGTTTTTTTTTTACTTTTTCGGTATAAGGATCTACTTATATGTTATCCGAAACGTATTGAAATTTTTCTAATCTTTAATATTTAAATTTATCTAATATTTAAGCTCCATTTTATGATTAAGCCGCTGCATCTTGATTAATTAGGCTTCATTTTGGATTTTTTCAATACAAAGTTTCATCAATATGTTTTCGAATATGAATAAATAAATAAATATTATGAAGCTAAAGTAAAATTAACCACAGAATACAAACTAAAAAGCCGAAAAGCAACTGGTAATAAATTTAACCTTCCGTATTCAGATTTTTCAGCTAATTGTTCGAAATCTTATAATTTTGTGATAGGAGACCACAAAATTAAAAAAGATAACTAAAATTAAATTAAAAATGAGACAATACATATTTTATTTATTTTGATTAGATATTTTTATTTATTTATTGAAAAATAAATTAATCCTTCGTACTATGTTTTTTATTCGAAGGAAAAAGCAAAAACACTTAACAAAACCGAAACACAGTAGCCTAACCTTAAAATGTAAGTCGTTTTAAAAATTAAGGCTCCGGCATCATAAAAGTAGACCTTTAAATTGGATAAATTCGAAAAACTTGAATAAGCCGAAACGCAGAGGCGTAATCTTAAAATGGAGGTCATTTTCAAAATCTACGGCTCCGGAAACATAAGAATACATCCTCATATGAAAAAAATCCGAAAAACTCAAAGAAATTGAAATGCGGTGGCCTAATCTTAAAATGGAGGTCGTTTTCAAAATCTACGGCTCCGGAAACATAAGAATACATCCTCATATGAAAAAAATCCGAAAAACTCAAATAAGTCGAAACACGGTGGCCTAATCTTAAAATAGAGGTCATTTTCAAAATCTACAGCTCCGGAAACATAAAAATACACTCTTCTTTGATAAAAATTCGAAACACTTAAAGAAATCGAAATGCGGTGGCCTAATCTTAAAATGGAGGTCGTTTTCAAAATCTACGGCTCCGGAAACATAAGAATACATCCTCATATGAAAAAAATCCGAAAAACTCAAAGAAATTGAAATGCGGTGGCCTAATCTTAAAATGGAGGTCGTTTTCAAAATCTACGGCTCCGGAAACATAAGAATACATCCTCATATGAAAAAAATCCGAAAAACTCAAATAAGTCGAAACGCGGTGGCCTAATCTTAAAATGGAGGTCATTTTCAAAATCTACAGCTCCGGAAACATAAAAATACACCCTCATATGAAAAATATCCGAAAAACTCAAATAAGTCGAAACGCGGTGGCCTAATCTTAAAATGAAGGTCGTTTTCAAAATCTACGGCTCCGGAAACATAAAAGTAGACCTTTATATTGGATAAATTCTAAAAACTTAAATAAGTCAAAACACAGTGGCGTAAACATAAAATGGATGTCATTTTCAAAATTTACTGATCGGGAAACATAAAAATACACCCACATATCGAATTTGTCAAAAAAACTTAAATGATTCGAAACGCAGTCACGTAATCTTAAAATGGAGGTTATTTTCAAAACTAGGTACAGGACAGCATAATACTAGTCCCTAAGAAATCCGAATAGGTACAATAAATCGATATCCGTAAGTGAAAATTCTACTTAGGAGAGCATAATAATAGACTTTCATATTGGAGGGGGGGAGGGGATGGTCATTATTTAAAAAAAAAATATAAAATTTACAAAAACTTAAAACATTCATTTGAAATGAAAACGGTTGAATTTGAATTGGAAAAGGTTTAATTTGAAATGGAAATGGTTGAATTGACTTGGAAAAAGTTTAATTTGATTTGGAAAAGGTTGAATTTGACTTGGAAAAGGTTGAATTTGACTTGGAAATAATTGAATATCACATAGAAATATCACACTGAAAAAATCTAAAATGTTAAAATAAATGGATATGCAACTGCGTAATCAATTTTTTTTTTGTATTTTTTAAAAGCTATGCCGTCGATAATATAGTAAGTGGCCTTCATTTCGAAAAAAATCGAAAATTGACAAAAATTCTAAAGTTGAATTTGAAATGGAAAAGGTTGAATTTGACTTGGAAAAGGTTGAATTTGAAATGGAAAAGGTTTAATTTGACTTGGAAAAGGTTGAATTTGATTTGGAAAAGGTTGAAATTGACTTGGAAATGCTATATAACTAAAGCTCATTAAATGAGGAAGTTTTTGTAAAGGTGGAGTAAATGTAGCACATGTAAAGAGTGATAAAAAAAATCACAACTGATTGATGACTTTTTTTAAACGAAACTTAGCTGTGTTTAACCGCCCAATAGTCCTCTTTAAATAGTTTTAACAATGACAAACTCTACTTTCTTAAAGTAAATTTTGTCTAGTTTGCTATAGAGCAATGTTTAGTTACATAAATCCAATATTTTTTATGTTATCGCTTTCGATTCAACAAAAAATGTCTCACTTAAAAAAACACATATCTTAAAATTCCTACTTTTCTGTTGGAAATGTAATTGTTAATATGAACTTCTTTGTAGATCTTGATGTCTACTATCAAACTTATAAATATTTTCCTCTACTTACGGGACATCCATATATATATATATATATATATATATATATTATATATATATATATATATATATATATATATATATATATATTTATATTAGGGAAAGTGTCATATTATGATGGTTGCCTAATATGGGATATGTGATTTCTAGTCAAAGTATCTACCTAATATTATTTTATAAATCTGAAGATTCATGTAGCAGTTATTTAAGGCTGCTGTTCATCTGGCCACAATTAAAGTATAATTTATTTTTACATTTTTATAAATTCTCACTCTTTAGTATTATTCGTTAGTATCCATGAATTGTTATTTTAACTACAAAAATACTTTTTCTGTGACTCAATTAAAGTTATAGGAGTCAAGCAAGTAACCTGTTGAACACTCATTAATATGATAACCCATATTTTATATTTATATTAGTGAAGTGGATATCTGGCTGAAAGCTCACTTTTTGTTAAAGTCTACTGTTGCTCCTGCCTTTGGCTTATATTGGGTTCTACAAAGCAAGAATAAATCCGTGGAATAGTAACATTTTTGATGAATAAGAAATGGTGGCTCTCAATTTCATACGGGTTGCCATTTACTCTTAACGTCGATGGATGAGATGAACCCTCTTTTAATTTTAGAACAGCATCGGCAAGAAGTGGGACTTCAATTTTGTTGACTAATTGGACCTATTAACAGTTAACAGAAAAGAAAAGAGCTACGGAAAAATGCAAGAAAAAAATACATTTTTTGAAACAGCATAATTAGTTGTTTGGAAAGGCACGATAACTGTAAAATTTAGTTTTTTTTGTAATGCCAATTTCGAAAACAGAGATGTGGTGTTTGTTGTTTTGAACAAAAATTTTCCAAATATGTTGGAGTATTCTCCCAAGACAACTAGATAGAAAGCACCACGCGTTGACAAATTTCCTTTGCAATTTGTTCATAAATCCATGAAATAAATTTAAATACAACAAGAGTTTTTAAAATTATCAGAATAAATAAAGATGATAATTTAATTTTTTTATACGAAATACATATATTTTCGTGAATACTACTTTCCATATTAAAAATAATCCCTAACATAGGGTACATATCACATATTGGGCGCCCTTATTATAGGACAATAATTTGTGTATCTTCTACAAAGTTTATAGATAAGCACTTAACGGTTTTAAAAATGTACCTCATAATTGGGCACTTTCTCCTGTATATATATATATATATATATATATATATATATATATATATACATAATTTTTATTTAATATATATTTTTTGGCCTCCATACTATCAATGTATACCCACCTATACAAAAATTCGGTGGTAAAAAAAATGGAGGTACGTTTGGTAGATGGGCTATTCATTCATTTCTTACTATTGCACCGACTGAGCGTGTGTGATTTACTGTTTACGAGTATTGTGGAGCCAAATAAAAGCCAATGAACAACTGAACCGACGAATTTTTTAATCGAGAATTTTTTTAATAATTAAAATTAGATTATAAATATTTATCCCCTATACCCTCTTAGCTCCTGGATTAGTTGATTAATAAATATAAAATATTCTTGAAAACTATTTTTTTATGCTTTCACATTTAAAATTCATTCCTTTTCATATTTGTTTAAAATTTTAACACGACAGATTGGAAAGTAGAAATTGAGATAGATATACAATTTTTAACTTCAGTTGCAGTTACAATTGGAACAAATACAGTATAAGCCGTTTAGAGATTTGAACTTTATTGATCATTGGTGAAAGTTCATAGATATAAAACTCGCAAATAAGAAAACATATATTACTAGATAGTGTTTGGGTGAAGGGCGGTGGGATAAGGGGGTTAAAGGGTTTCCCAAGTAAATTCTCTCAAAGAGAGCATACTACCCATTGGCCCTTTGGTGATGTATTTCTAATTATGATAAACAGATTGTTGCAATTAGGGAATGCCTTGGAGAAGCTCATGCCCCTTCCAACTGCCAAGACTGGAGGAACTGGCTCCAAAAAATCTCCCAAGTCCGACCAGAAGAAATTACAAGTCATGGTTCAGAGAGCGAGGACGCTGCTAATTGTTTGTGGTTAGTGACGAACTCCAAGCCTTGCCCAAACTGTAAAAGTCCTATTCAGAAAAATGAGGGCTGCAATCATATGAGGTGCGCAAAGGTAATATATCATTATGTTTTAAAATATCGATTTACTGTTTAACTTATTTAGACGTTTAGAACGCCTTTGGGCCGGCCTATAAAAATTGAAATAGAAAAATAACTTTATTCTAGGACAACGTTCCTTGATAATAACAGCTGTTATAGAGAAATTCAAAAATCTTATACAAATATTACACATTTATCCCCTCTAAGAATGTTCACACTAACAACATTTATGATTAATAATAAGGCATTAGTACTAGTTCATAAGATTTTAATTTAATTTACGTGTTAACTCTTGATGAAATTACAAAAAAAAGGTTGAGTAGTCCAACATTTAAGATAAACCAAGTTTACACCTAACCACTGATAATTAAAAAAAAAGTTGCATGTTTCCTATTGAAAGAATAAGATGCAAAGACGAAAATAAAGTTAAACCACCGAAATTATTCAAAATTAATATACAGGGTATCCTGTAAATATAGAGACATTTTTATTGAAGTGATAGCATACCTCAAAAGTAACAAAAAAATTCATATAAACAATGGCCCTATTTTCAGCAAAAAAGTAGAAAATTCAAGTTTTGTGTTTTTTAAACGTCGTGTATTTTTTTATTTAAAAGGAAGCGATAACTAAAGAAATATTTAATTTAAGTAATTAACGATTTCTTCATTGTAACCTAGAAAGACATTACTTCAAATGAAGACAGAGTATATCATTTTTAAATTCAGTTAAAGAGGTCTTTTCTCATGACAAAACCACAAAACTTGAATTTCCTACTTTTCTGTTGAAAATAGACCAATTGTTTATATGATTTTTTTTTAGCTCTTGAGGTATACCATCACTCCAATAAAAATTTTTCTTTACTTACGGGAAACCCTGTGTAAAGATATTAATTTATTTGATTTCTTGTATAAAGATAATGTTTTTAGGAAGCGTGTGAACAAAATTATCTATCCTTTTGCAAATTTATGAATTTTCTGAAGTAAATGTTTCTCATTAATGGATTTATACTTAATTGTGTTAATATGAGCTATTAAATCTTCAAATAAATTTATGGTTTAAGGAAAAGCTAGTAACGATAAACGAATTTAATAACTCAGTTTATATTATATATAGTTAGTACTGCATTAGATTGTTTAAAGTCGTAACTAAACAAGATGCTAGGTACTACCGCTACATCGTTTCAAGTTCTTTACCAGACGTCATGACTTTACTGGTCATGACATGGTGTCCATCATGCAAGATAGGAGTTACCAGAGATGAAAAAACAGCCCTAGGGTGTTTTAATTACAAAAATATATATCGCTGTAAATGTGCTATCATTTCCGATATTGACATGTCAAAGAAAAAATAATGGTGCTGTGATTCACATATGAACCCAACAACGAAGCAGTAAACGGATAATCCAAGTTTGTTTGTTTGTAGTAGCGTAAACCTTCAGTGGTAATGAACGCCATTATTTGTGTTTAATTTATTTTTTCATCATTATATCTACACACGCGCGCATCATTATCTACGCGCGCGCACACACACTCCCACACTTAATTACGAATTATGTTCTCTTTTTTTTCTCGTATCTACTGTCGGTTGTTTTTCATGCTTCAGATATCATGGTTTAGAAATTTAAAGACCAATTTTACTGTTTTATTATGAGATTTGAGAACTGTCGGTAGTTCGGATTTTAATCCAAATCTATTGAGCTGAGTGATAAAGAATGGACGCTCTTGGAAAATGAGACTATTCGTCAAGCTGTCATTACAATATTTACATTGGGATGGCACTTACTTAGTGATGAGAAAGGAGTGAGTCAGTCTCGTGTGTCCTATTGTGAGTCGAGTCAATATGACTCAATACCACAGGGCTTCAATTCCTTTTTTATTATTTTTAGCCTTCTCGGAGGACTTTCATCCCAAATGGACTGCCACCCATCTTTAATTTCCTTATATGTAGTTATACCCCGTTCAGGGAGCGTTAGTGCCTCTCTTGCAGCTCTATCGGCCAGTTCATTTCCTGCGCCTCCCACGTGACTTGGGACCTACATAAATCTTACTGTCATTCCTAGGTTTTTTAAAATGGTTAGGCAGAAGTGGATGCTGGAAAGTTTTGGATGTTTCGGATACATACAATGCATAGCGTAGAAATGTGGTCTTTCCGGGCTGGTCTACTACTATCAAATGTTAGACTAAGAAATCTATGATGGTTTTAGTTCGATATTAAGGATTTCCTAAAAGTAGATCGGGCGGAAGTGTGTTCCGCCTTCGGCCAAAGTTATGGGATTCTGTCTTTTCTGTTGAGAATTGTATGTCGGTCATGTTTGGTCAGTTTTTAATCCTGTTTATTGCATCATGAAATTTAAATTTTATATCTTTAATGTTTCCTCATTGATAAATTATCTCCATCTCATCGGCAGAGAGAAGTGGTTTAACTCATTTTGGAAAATTGAGTCCTACATCATTTAGGGTTATGGAAAAGACTACTCAGTACTCATTAATCATATCTGCGGCACCCTATTGACCTATTCATGGTTTTGAGAATATTCACACCAAATTATTATTATTATTATTAAATGGCACTACATCCCAGTTATTCGAGACTTGGCCAGCTCAAGCATGGATCTCCAGTTCTCCCGGTTAGTTGCTGCAGTCTTCCAATTTCTGACACCAAGTAGTCTACATGCATCAGCAGCCACACAGTCTTGCCAGCGCAAACATGGTCTTCCTACTCGTCTGTTTCCAAACACAGGCTCATTCATAGCTTTCTGTGGGGGTGCATCCGTATCCATACGCGCGACATGTCCTGCCCAGCGTAGTCTTGCCAGTACGATGAATTGGCTCACATCTAGGTCATTAAATAATGTATTTATTTCTAAATTCGTTCTCCTCTTCCAATTCTGTGGTGTTTCATGGACCCCTCCAAATATGCCTCGTATAATCCTCCTTTCAAATCTGAGCAGGGATTTCTGCTTTAGTTAAGGTCTAACTCTCACAGCCATATGTGAGCACTGGTCTAATAAGAGTTTTATATATTCTTATTTTGGCCTGTTTTGACAACATTCTACTGCGAAGATGTCTCTGGAGGGAGAAATAGCACCGATTAGCCACTGCGATCCTCCTGTCTATTTCACAATCAATGTTATTTCGTGCATTTATCAATGAACCAAGATATACGAATTCGTCAACATTCTCGATTTCACGCCATTCCAGCCATGCTTGGTTTTTCCCTTGTTAGACTTGAGGATAGAGTGGACATATATTTTGTTTTGGACGCGTTAATAGTAAGACCGATTTTGGCTGCCGACTCTTCCAGGCTTGTAAAAGCTTTCGCACCAAATTCATACTCTAAAATGTTGGCTAGTTAGACATTATTTGATATATAAGAACATGTATCCCCGAATTCCAATAGATGTCAACTTATTTAGAATGACGCCTTGAGCATATCAAATAAGACAGCAATAATTTATTGCCCGTTAACAAAAGCATATTGAATCTCTATTTCTAATGTTACTAAGAGGTCTATTGTGGGTCGGCCTTTTCGGAATCCAGATTGCAATGATTGTATTAGATGATTTCTTTTTTTTATAATCCACATAAGTCTTCTGTTGACCATTTGCTCAGTTTTTTACAGACATAACTTTGTGAGCAAAATTGGACGGTAGCTACATGGGATACGTTTATATTTTCGAGTTTTTAGACTGGAATGACTATTGAATCACGCTGATTGGTTCTATTATGTCAATTTTGAGAGGTTTCCCAAATATAAAATTTATTTATGCATTGCTTATAATTTACATTGCATTTATAAATTACATTTTGTTTATTTTTAATTTTCATATTGTTTGTTATATATTTGTTTAATTTGTCGAGTTAAGCTCGAGTCGTTGACAGGGACACATAGGCTCTGCGTTGATGTCACTTTTAATTTTTTTTTTTCATCCAACCAAGCTGTGAATTTGCACGTGGGCAGAGCAGTATGCTGGAGACCTGTTTCTAAAATTTAGCAAAAATCAAGTGAAGATCTTCACCAAAGAACGAAAAGGCAAAGAACTTGGTGTGCTTGCCGGGCCGGGCGCTTATCTCTTTGCAGCTAGTGACATGCAGTCTTTTCGAGGTTTCGAGAGAACTGGGTGACCGAATAATGTTTTTGTTTGCTTTGAAAAACCAATGAGCTGAAAGTAAAGGATATAATACTGTAGGAGTGCCCAGAACAGGCCTGCATGGCGCAAGTTGCGTCAAAAAAAATTTTGTGGGAGCACATTGTTACGGGGTAATGAAATTTTGAAGAGTCCAAATATTTTCAGGCTGTGTAGGCAAGAAAAGAAAAATACGAAGGAAATAAAAGAGAAATTTAAATTGCAGTTAGAAAGCGATTATGAGTGGACTTCAGCTAGAGAGATTTAGTGACCTGTCTAATGATTATAAGATTAAGAAAATAGATTAAATAAATTTGAATACTTTCATATTGGTTTTCTTATTATTAATATCATTGTTAGTTTTTAATTAATTCTTAGGAATTATTATTTTAAATTTCTTAATAGTTAAATTTGAACCACAACTTTAAGTTATGTTGGTTTAATTACGTCAATAAAACTTTTATTTGTGGCGAATACGTGATTTCCTATCGAAACTTATACTCGATGAATATTGTCTTCCTTGATCGGCTATCAGCCCCACTGTACGGTGGTGAGAGTAGAGGAGTTTTTGGGAGGGGGAGTCAGTGGAGGGGGTAGAAATTGTTGATGTTTTTGTAATAGTTTTAGATGTAGAATATAATATAATAGAATTGAATTTATTTTTTAAAGATTATTTTACAATCTTGTACAAATCATACATATATGAATAACTTTATTTCATCTAAATGAGTCTAGTTTATCATAACTGTTCATTGACTTATTATAAATACAATAACTAAACAATAATACTTCATTACATTCCAATTAATTTCTATATACATTATCAATAAAAAAAACAATTAATTGAACTGACCAACAATTATCCTTAGTCATAGCACTTGCTTGGTGTGTGGAACATTATAGTTTAAGGGATCCAGTGAATTGCACGCTGACATTATGAACCAGTAAATCATGTTAAGTTTCTCTTTGTTATCGATTCGAAGTATGTCTTGTATCTTGTTTACATCACTTGGCGCAGAGAGAAATGCTCGTAAATGTTTGTGTCTGCCGTCTGTTAGCTTTTCACAGTACCGAAGGATATGGCTGTTAGTAATGAATTGGTTACAGAAAGTGCAGGTTTCCTGGGCTTTGAAGTAGAAACTTTTGTTTTTCGTATAGAGCTTAATTAATTCGGGATTTGAAACTCTTAACTGACTTATTGATCTTAGCTTTTTCATGTTAGCTCTATACATCAAATAGGACTCTGGGCTGGAAATATTGAAGCTGGAAATAGTTCTATATATGGGATTGTTGTTGGAATTTATGGATAAATGGATGTCCTTAGATAGGTTATGGTTTTTTAGCTTTTCCAATATTTCATCGCTGTATTTTAATAATCCAGTTGGGTACACTTTATCGAACTCTTCTTTACAGCCATAATGAACAGCTATTGATCTGACTTGTGTGATCCAATAAAAGTTTATATCAGGATTCATTGTATCCAGCAAAATTAATTTGTTGAAACAAAGCATTGGTAACCTCTCTTCAATCATAAGCGACAATTTAGACTAGTAATTTATAATCCTTCTCATAACCCTGAAACTCAAGGCGTTTCGGCCAGTTTCGAGACGTACAATGTAGTTGGCAGTGTTCCTTGGCCACCAAATAGTTGCTTCAGAAACTTCAGCTGTACCACTTCAATAGCATCCAGGTATCTTAAGCTCCATATTTCAGAAGAATTCAGAAGGGTTGAAGACACCATAGAATCAAAAAGAGCTATTTTTGTCTCCCATGAATCGCTTCTACCCCTTCGCAAAATCTCCAATACTTTTCCCGTGGCAACAGAGGGCTTCTGTATAAAATGCTCAGATGCCTTACTAAATTTTCCTGAGGAAGTGAAAGGTACTCCTAAGTAAGTATAGGCCTTAGTGTATTCCAGCTTTTTCTCATACCAGTAAAGGGGCTTAAGTTTCTTCATCCTGGGGAAGTTTATTTTGTGCTTCTTGCCAAGTATTACTAAGAATATCATGTGCTAGTAAGAGCATTTTTACTTCATGAGTGCTATCGATGCTTACGCCTGTGGCCCCATTATGCTGAAAAATTGGATTATATCTGATATGAACAAGACGAAAAGTGTTGGACTAAGACTTTCTCCCTGTAACAGGCCAGATGTTATATCTATGTTTTCCGATAGTTGTCCTTTGATTGCAATTTGAGTTGTAGCATTGTCGTACAGCACCTTCATTATCCTTATAAGTTTTCCTCCCAGTCCGGGAGAAAAGAGTTTTTCCCATAGCAGGTTATGGTTGATGGAGTCGAAGGCTTTCCGGAAGTCTATAAATGCAGCATATAAGTAGCTGCCTTCGGATCTAAATTTAATACCAACTAGTGACATTAGTGTGAAAATGTGGTCTGTGCATCCTCTACGACTTCTAAACCCCGCTTGTTCTTCAGGTATAAGGCTTTCAGATTCAGCCAATTGTATAATCCTGCTTGCCAGAATACTGGTAAATAACTTCAGCATTGTATTTAAGAGGGATATTCCTCTGTAATTATCTGTATCCGTCCTGTGTCCCTTCTTAAACAGTAAATGAAGTTTTGATTTAGACTACTGTAGGGGAAGTTTCTCACAGTCCATCACTATATTAAATAGGTTGAGAAGATAATGATAGAATATGATGAATAGATCCCACTCCGGCGTGAGATTTTTGAAGGTTTCGTATATAATATTGTCGAAGCCAGGAGCTTTGTGGTTCTTGGATTGTTTGATACAATATTGTAGCTTCTCTAATGTTATGTTACTTTCAAGATATGGATGAGTAACTGAATAAAATTGATTTCCACGGATCATTTTTTTGGCCATAGTGTGATATATAAAATTTGCTCCATTCTTCTATTCCTATTTCGTTTATTTGGCTTTTATGTTAGTTTTAGATGCATAGCTATTGAATTTTGTTTTGTGATTTCACACACACATTTTGTAATTTGACACCGACGATCAAGCGAGTTGTGATTTTGGGCGCAATTTGTACAACGGACCGGCCGCGTACATCTCACGTTATTTCTTCATGTTTTGCTTCCCCGTATTGTATATACTTACTTTGTTGTTTACAAACGTAGGTGGGATGATATAATCTCAAATAATTGAAACATCGCATGAGATTAGGGGTATAATTTTGTACCTTGGCCGTATGAAATCCTATATCCTTTCTTTATTGTTTCCGGTATTCTCGGTGTTGGAAAGGTGATGATGTAAGAATCAGTCAATATCTCATTTCCATTGTTTTTTATTTTAATACGGTTTATATTATTTATCATTGAAGATTATTGTTGTTCTATTTCTTCGATCTTCAAAAATTGGTATTAAAGTTTTTACTTTCAATAAGTAGTTAGCCATTGTTTAGTTTTTTTACGATTTAGAAGTTTCCCATCAAACATGAAAGAAACTTATTTATTAAGAACGGGGATACTTTTCGAAAATTTTTGTTATTTGATTTTTGTATCAACAAAAAGATTGGCTAGTTACTATTCCAGAAAACATGAGTACTTTTAGATGACTGGTTAGAAAATCACATAATTTTTTTACACAATTGGGAAAAACCTTGACTTAATTCATATGGCTTTATGATAAAATAAAATGGAGTATAATTTCTGATTTAAAAAAAAAAGAAGAAAATAACTGAGTTTAGCTGCTTTAAAGTCCTGTTATGTTTCACTGAATGGAACGTAATCTACCGAAGATTGTCAAGTTTAACGCCTTGAAATAAAAAAGACTCGATATTACGCATTAATCACGGAGGAACTCTCTCTTTTGAAACAATTGTTTGTAACAATTTATTTTATTACAATATAAATTATAATTATTATTCTTATTAATGTTAAGATATTATCGATATCTATTTATATTAATATTTTCATTCCAATACTGTCCAATATGATATCGCAACACGGGGTTTTCGTTATTATCTTAATATCCAATGAAAAATGCTTATATCGGATTTTTATACCGCACATTAATCAATTAATTTTTTTATTTAGATGTTAAAAAATATATTAAATTAAATACAACTATTTTAAACTTAATTTTATATTTCGTAATTAATATTTAACTAATACTTTTATATTTAAAAGTAAACTACTACACAAAATTAATATATACAGACCTTACGATTTGATACCAGTTATACTTACATTTTTAAACTCTAGTAATGTAATGAAAGTGTGTCTTAATGTTTCTATTTTAACATATTAAAACAAACAGGCCAGGATCAATTTTTTAACTATCATTAAGCTGTTAAGAAATTCTTGTTTTCTCATCGACATGTTTCAGAAAACTATTGTGGTTTTGTGTGTTATTTATCTGAAATACTTACTCGACTTTGTGCAAATTATAATTTGCGTATTATTTTGCAATTTCGCAATTTGCAAATGAAAAAATAATTATCTTACAAATTTACCGCTCCCATTCCGATCCTCTCACATTTGAGGATTGTTCTTCTGAAATTGTTGGTCGGTTCTGCAGATCTTGATTCCAACAGGTGCCGTGCCAGAGGTATCTTACGTAATCAGTAGAGAAATTATATATATTTTATCTTTATGTTATTAAAATTTGGTAAACTTGTTGAGATAAATATAATGTTGAGTGCTAATTTTCAGTGCAAATGTGACTTTTGTTGGGTATGCCTAGAGAGCTGGAAGAGACACAGTTCTGCTACAGGTGGATATTTCAGGTGAGAATAACAACAAATTTATTTTATCAAATTATTTAATTCAAGATCATTATACTGGAATATATAATCAATTCGCTTATATATATCGTTAATTATTCTAAGCGTTTACTTTAGATCAGGGGTTAAAATAGTTATATTTTTTTTATTACAAATGAGTTCAACTTTAATTGTTTAAAAAAAAAAAAATTGTATCAATAAAAGGCTAAAGGTAAAAGTTTTTCAAAATTGTAAAAGGTGTAGGTTAAAAAGGTTTCCACTTTATTAATACATATATAAATGTCATAAAAAGGTATTCATCAATCTTTTACTTTTTCCCTCTAAAATAAAAGTTATAAGCACAAAAATTACAAATTATAATAGAATTTCATAATCATTACACTGGTAGGTACTCAGAGTAGAACATTAATAAATTCCGGTGATCCTGGAAAATATTCCAATGATAACTTTGTAGAAAATTAGGCAATACAAAGTTTTATTTGTTAGAATTGTTTTAAATTTTTAATAGTTTTGATTTAACGTAATACATACTATCTTGTTCCATTCCTTTCAAACCTTCTAAATATTTGCTAAGTTAAATGCATAGAAAAATATTATAGTGTTTTATATAGCTATGTACACACACTGATGATTATATTTTCTGTTAATAAAAGCGTAAAAGCATATTACTTTTTTCGTTACAAACCATTCAAGTAAATGTTTTATGGAGACTGTTATTTAAAAACTTTAATTAATGAGGTTTGAAAATAGAAGCTAAATAATAACTGTTTTGAAAATAGAAGCTAAATACTGTTTTAAAATGGCATGCATCAATAAAAGTAAAAGTTCCACAAAAACTTTTATACATCTATATATATAGATTTTTTTATTTATTTATTTAGAAATACAATAATCTGTCAGGTGGAGAATAATTATAGTGATATATGAACAACATATAAATAGTTAAATTTTTATTCGATCCCTGCTTTCAATGTTGAAAGAAATCTGGTGTGGTGCATCATAAAACTTTAATTTATTTATATGTTTCTACTGAAAGTTTCTGAAGAAATTCACAAACCTTAAGAAAATTACTTTGGCTATAAACATAAAGCATCGAAAATTAATATAAAGCATAGCTAATATATGTTTACTATATATTCAATGTCTTTCAAACTAAAAATAAATTTTAAGTTTTTATTTTTTCCGTGGAAACATGATTTTCCCATTCAATAATATAAAAGATAACAATTATGAATTAGTTTCTCTCCATTATGTTATAAGAATGTATATGTTGGATATATATATATATATATATATATATATATATATATATATATATATATATATATATATATATATATTACTTAAATACAGTTTTCCAACGGCATATTATTATACAACTGCTAAGATGTAAAAAGGCCCATTCTGGTTCCGTTTGTGTGTTTACCACAGATACGTTTATTTGGAAAAAATATATATACACACATACATACATAATACACATCTATATGCATATATGTATTGTCTATTGTATATGTATATTGTAACCTTCCAAACCACCCATCATACTCAGTCCACTGATATCTAGCTAGACCTATTTATTATCGATTCTCCTCACTACCTATTATCCTCCACGCAAACTCCTGTTTCCTTCCTTTCATCCCACGATCTTATTGAAATCTCGAACAACGTCTCTACTCCTACACTTATACTAAAAAAAAAAATTCATGGAGAGATCTAAATTTCTTTAATAATGAAAATATCAGTCCTTTTCTCGATTCCTGTCCGTTTCCTTATAACCCATTTTTCCCTATCCTCTATCGGTGACATGGTAGAATATCTATCCTCTAACCTCCTTGATTTCCTTAATCGTCAGGCACCTCTTAAAATTTTTAGACCTTCTCTCGCACTCTGGATTAATTCAGAAATAAGAGAGCTCATGAGAAGAAGAGAGACAACGTGTATTCGCTAAAGACCTACACGACTGCCTTAGCATTATTCCATCTTTAAATCCCTATGTTATCTTGAACAAATATCCCTTCGCCGTGCCAAAGCCCAATACTTTACCCCAAAAACCTAACCCTAAATCCAAATGTACAATTCTGAAAAATCTCTCTATCATCAGGTTCAAAACCTGTACCCAATATCCAGTAGACACAGCTAAATTCCTTTTTCGCTAACCATATCCCTTCCTCATTTCCATCTGACCTCTTTTTTCCACCAGCAAAATTCCTTTTGATCCTGATAAGCTACATTTCTTTGATATTTCTCCCACAGACCTATTATCTGTCATCCTTAAGTCCAAAACGAACGATTATAGACATGACCAAATACCCGTTAAAATCATTAAACTCTGCCTTCCAGCCTTATTTCCCGTATACAATTTTTTTGCTGCACATATAAGATTTCTCTCTCCAAAATTTTATCTTCCCCGAAGCTTGGAAAAGAGCTATTGTCTGCCCGTCGAAAGTTCTTGCTCCTTTCTTAGCTTCCAAATTCAGACCCATCCCCATACTTTCCAATCTATGTAAGCCACTGTAAAGAATAGTTCAATCTCAGTTTTACAACTTTCTTGACAAAACCGTCTTCTCAATCCATTACAATCCGGTTTCTGTTTCCATTATTCTACCAAATCTGCCTTGTTAAAGATTACCCAAGACCTACAATCCTCCATAGCTAAACAAACAAATTCTATCCTAATCTTTTTCACCTTTCAAAAACCTTTGATTCCGTCAACCACAAGATCCTTCTTTCCAAATTCAAAGCCTGCCCATATCAAATAGTGTTCTAAAATGGTTCCACTCCTTCTTATCCCACCGCTTATAGACAGTTGTCATTTCTAATAAATCTCTATCATCATCCTTCCAATTAACACAAGGTGTTTCTCAGGGTTCATCACTCTCTCCGACCCTTTTCTCTATTTATATTAGGGATCTTCCTGACTTCATTAATCATTCTTACCACTTATATACCGATGATTTCCAAAAATTTACCAATCTTTCCACCCTTCTGAGATGCCTGAGGCTACCCAATAGCTACAATAGGATATTGACTGCAGATGGGCAGAAATAAATAAGTTAAAGCTGAAACAGATAAAACTAAGGCTATTCTCAGGCATCTCATTAGTTATCTCCTTACTCTCCCCTACTCTACCTCAATAACCGCCCCATCCATTTTTTCCCAACAGTCAAAAACCTAGAAGTTATCTTTGATCACGACCTTTCCTGGAATAACCATATTTTCCAGACAACTCAAAAATCCAGACAATTCCTAAGAATCCGTGATTCTATTCCGCAAAAAAACAGGCAGTTCCTTGTAACCTCTCTCGTTTTCCCCCACTTCTACTACGGTTGCTTGATGTATGAAGGTCTGCCTGAAAGACTGGAGGTGAAATTGAAGAGACTTATGAACTGTTTTATAAGATTCATCTTTGGAATTCCCAGGCGTTCTCATGTTTCCCACTTGTATACGTAGTTTAAGTGGCTTTATCCTACTTCCCGACGACAATCCCTTCTTGGTGTTTTCCTTTACCAGGTCCTAAGTCGTATTATTTTTACCCTGTAAAAGTTCAATCGTCTATGCTACCCCTTTCCATTCAAAACCCAACAACTACTGGTTTCCTCTCTTGTTTTTACCTACTTTGACTATGGTGGAATTTCGGGAAAACTCGAAGCCAAACTTTTAAAAGTCTAATGAATTGCTTCGGAATCTCAAGAGATACACGTATCACCCAGTATTGCGCTAACTTGAAGTAGCTCTTCCCCTCCTTATGTGTATTTTGTATTTATAATTTCTATAAAATTACAATTATAAATTCTCTAAAGGGTTAGCAGTCCCAGGATAGTAAAATTATTTTTCATTTCATTTCAAAATTCACTATCACCATAAATCAAGTAGGTAGTATATTCCTTGATGTACAAAAATTCAACCATAAATTAAAAAGAGTATAATCAATATTACCTACTATTTTTGAAACTGTCTATTTTTATTAATACTTTTTAGGAATAAATTGTGTAATAAGATACTATATTGCAGTATTATATGAATTAATATTATGTAAATACATTGGGTGGTGTCACGATTGAAGCATAATATCATTTGTACAAATTAGTATTGAAACTTAACCGCTGATTTTTTACGTCGTTGATTTATTTGCAGTTATATCTTAGAACTTCGTGAAACAAAGTCACTTTTTAATTCATTAATTATCCTTAACTGCACAACTCTATTTAAAAACATAAAATATAATAGTTAAATAAATGTCAGTTGTACCCCTAGGATTTTAACCCCTCACATTTTACTTTATTGAGAAATATACACCTACAGGTTATTTTCAATTTTGATTTCGTATGGAAAAGATGGATAAAGCATCTATTATTTAATGAAACGGACTTATGAGATAAACTATGATCCAGATGGAGAAGTATATTAAATTATAGTTATTATTTTAATTTTAGTCAGCTTGAATTATTATTTTCGTGAATTGGGCTCTTAAATGCCTTTCGATCTTTTCTTATGTTAATTGATGCCACATTTATAGTTCATATTTATCACATACATATGATATATACATACATGATATACATATTCATTTATCACATATTTGTCCATTAACATAGTTCATCAAAAGAATTCGCAATCATTTTGTATGAAATAAGAATCTATAGTGTACGTTATTATCGCCTTCTTAATATAGAAATTTGTTTGTTTTCAAATCTTATCGGGATATTGTATTATCGAAATATAAAAAAAAGTTCATAAAAAAAAAATGTAAATTACAATAACAGTAGTAAGTAAGTGCTAGCTAGAGAAAACTGGATTATAAAAATTTCAACAATTATGACCGTAAATAAAAACTACTTTATCAATCAACAGTTCTAAATGTTATTTTGAGTTTTTTATTCACAGGTGTAACAGGTTTGAAGCAGTCCATAGAGCAGATGAAAAACAAGGAGTTCTGATAACTGAGGTAATAATAAAAACCTATTTAAGTTGCGTTTTCAATATTGAGTATTACATGATTTGCATCTTAGCTTAATGGGAAATGAAAACTCCACGAACAAGTTATAATTATTTTTTTAATCCAGGACATTTGCAAACTTTAATACCCCACTTATTATTGCTAATTACATTTTGGTATCTGTATTATGCATAAATGTTCGATTCATGCAAAGATTACGAAGTTAATCACAGTGGTGTGAAGAAGTCTCCGAACCAATCCAATTTTTATAAAAATGATAAATGTTTCAATTTATAAGTGTTATTATGTTCTTAGTGGTAAACTTATTTAACCTTGCTGACATTGTAGATGCAAAATATACTTAAATTAGCATTGTTTTCAATTAACAACAAGCCAAAAGACGAATCGTTATTTTGATGGGTTTTTTTTGTCCTCTGAATAATGCTACCTAATTGTTGAAATTTAGCAACTTTTTTATCCACTCCATTCTTTACTCTTTATTGTTAACCTCAAGATCTGTTGTATAAACTCTAGGAGCTGAATGTATCTGTGATAGTTGGTTTAATATCCGAATTCTTCGCTTTTTTCCGGTAATTTAATATTCCATTTTTCATTTTTTTTTTTTATTTAATGTTATTTTTAAAATGGCATAATATCACATTTTTGATCGTTATCTTGCTAAAAAATAAAGTTCTGCCCAATCAGCTTAAGCCCAGGTGGTATTGCATGGTATGTTTTATAACCAGTTTTTGATCAATTTACAAGAGGTCTTCAACTTCAGATTTAGGAACACTACCCAAACCATTAAGAAGCCACCTCAAAAATTTATCTGAAGATTTCCCTTCAGATCTCCTCCAACATACTGCTTCCTTTAGTGTTGCCCAAAATCGGTCTTGGTCTTGCACTTTACAAGACCAATACCAAGACCTGTTGTAAGATCAAGACCAAGACTGGTCAAATAAAAAAAATCATTTTTGTGACTAAAAATTAAGACATAATAGTTACTAATACTTAAAAACTTTAGTTACAATATGTAAATAATTGGTATAACCAATATACTTTTCCATTTAATTCTTCCAATTTTTCATTTGGGCTTTCATTTGGTTTTCCTTATCTGAATCGTTACAGTAATATTACTATAGTAATAGACTAATAGACATATGCAATACCAAGACCACTGGCGGATCCAGGGTTGAATTTTGGGGGGGAGGGGCTTCAGCCCGAAAGGTTATTTGTTTTTTTTTTATAAATAAGGATTACTACTTTGATAGAAAAATGAATAAACTAACTAATCTATTTGAAATGGCGTTTAATTGATTCTTGAAGTTCTATTAAATGTAATTACACTAGTGTTGCCCAAAAATGGTCTTGGTTTTGGTACTTTTGCAAGATCAAGACCGCTTTGACTGTCGCAAGACCAAGACCAAGACCGGATCCTACAAGTCTTGCGCAAGACCAAGAATGAGCTGCACGATTCTTGCGTCTCGCAGTTAAATAAAACTGAGATTTGTGCGTTATTGAGTATTTGATTTCCATCTAACTATAAATTAAGTCGTTATAACACTGAAATCTATTATATTGATTATTATAATGTGTTTTTAATACGGTGTTTCAACATTTTAACCTTACATTAAAACTAAACAGTTTTTTTTTTCTTCTTAAATCGTGAATTTGAGCTCAGACCTCCAAAACTTGAACATATGGCAATACTGGAGTAAGATAAGATAACAAAAATAAATTGGCTTTGGTATGTCAAAATGAGTGCAAAATAGTTTAAAGGACAACGTTAGTTACTATATGTAAAGGCTAGGAACATGCAATTTATTTTTGTATCCGGCTCTTCTTTTCTATCATCGGGGTTTCAGGCAGTAATGTCACTAGTATATAATGATAACATAACTGACCACCGAAAAACCACCTACGCCACCTATGATGATAATATTGCATCAGTTACTACTTATCAAATGATCATGTGGGATTCTCCACAGGTACACCTACTAATTTCGTCCTCTATCTTTTGAATTATATAAGCATATGTATTTATGTCTTGAAAGATGATAGTCTACACAGCAAAGTTCAAAATTATCATTCTAGATCGAGCACAGTAACAGTTTTTGCGCCAGCCAATATTATGACACAGCCCGATTTTTATGTGGTAAAAAAAGTTAAACAATGCCAAATGAATATGAAATTAGTTAAAATACTATTTCCTAGAAACGATAGAAGTTTGCTCCTAGAAGACTCATAGCGAAAAATCAAAGTCATGATTTTTAAGAAAAAAAATTAAATGAATAAAAAATTCTTCTTAAACACAAATCAGAGATAATTAGTAATAATTAAAAAACACAATGTAAGATATTTATTAACTTCTTCTCTTGAAACTGGGATGTGCTCAGTGATGCAACTTCATTTTCGAATTTAAATCTTATGAGACATAAGGTAATTTTTTGTTTGGATATTATGGAAATTTTTTTTATGACCTCAGCCAACCCTTGCGATCTATAACTGACAGGCCCTTGTCTCCTTTTATTTATATCTTCAACAGATCTATACCGATCTTGAGTAGTAAATTTAAAATGCAAAATCCAATAAGATATTTTTTGATCTATTTTGCAAATTGGTACAAAAATAGATCTTGTTGCGATTTTGCTCTAAAACAAATCTATTTTGTAATTTAGAATAAAAAAGATCTATTCTTGTATCTTCATTCAAAAATTCATTCAGTTGATTATATAACCAATTTACGCTAAACTAAATATCTAATTATATAAATTTAACGAAGGTATCGCATCGACATCGAACCTTTTGGTCGCTAAATCTTTTATTTTTATTATGATTATCATCAATTTAATGAAGAAGAATAAAATTCCCTTGAAATAGCCTGATATTTGTGTAGAAAACATTAGTAAATAATATCCTAGACGAAAAAACAAAACATATGTGTATTGAGTCAGAGGAAGTGGTTAATTCCTGCTTAGATTCCTAGAAAAATTTCCTGTTTACCCACGGCGTTTCATTTGATTATCTTATTAAATGCTTTATAGTTTGCAAGAATTCATAACTTGGACAATTCTCCTAGTTTAGATTCTGAAATAAAGGAATAAGGTTACTCCTAATTATTAAATCTCCGACAACGCATGCTATATTATATCCCCATCGGTCGCTGTTGACTTATTTGATAAGACCAACAAAGACCTGGCTTTATCAAAAGGCTGTGCGACAAGTGTATTACGGGATTGACTTTGCTGTACAGCCGCCGCTTTCATGACAAAGGCTGCCGACTTTCCAAAGAATAAAATAAGTTTACAGGCTTACGGACCGGAACGGAATGATTTATGAAAATCCTTCTTATTATAAATATATAATTATAAGTCTTATAGGTTATAAATATTCAGGAGGCAGTCATTATAAACATTTTTGAACCTGCAAGACAAAGACCAAGATTAGCCAAGTCTTGCAATTGGGCAACACTAAATTACACGGACAATGATATTTTAACAGATAGGTTTTAATGTTTATTTCATAAGAAATGGCTATGTTTTATTATTTGGGGTGGAGGGGCTTCAGCCTGAAAGCCCCCCTCCTCGTAGATCCGCCTGTGACCAAGGCTGAGTGAGTGAGACGAGTTTTGGTCTCACATTAGGGCTACACTATCCTTTAGAAACCAAACATTTCAAATTTTGACTCATATCTTCATAAAAATATGCTTCATTATTCATCCATCAAATTTTCGCTTTAGCTTTTTCAGAGATTTTTTCTTTTTGGCTTTCTTGATGGTTTTCTTCTTGATATGGTTTTCTTTTGACAACACAACCTTTAAGGCCTAATGATAAAAATTGTTTTGAGCACTTGTAGAATTGGCTATTCTACTAGCCTGAACTAGTTCTCTGCTGGATTTTTAGGAGTTGGGCAGACACAATAATTTTAAATATAAATACTATAATTTACATTCATTCAGTGAGCAGATTTATAGAAGAATCTAAAATACACTATAAAAAATTAATAAAATAATGCACATCCATAACTTCATTATAAGATGCCCATAGGGACAGTACAGGACTTCGATGGAATTCTTGGGCCAACATAGAAAAAAAAACATAATTTAATTTTTTTAAACAAATAAAATCAACAGAAGGACTGTGTTTTTTGACCGGCCTGAACGTACCAAATCTCCAGTTTGCCTGTTTTTAACTTTTAGATGACGTGAGAAATCACAGAAATAACCTTAAATTTCTTTTAGAATTTCCTTGATTTGAAGTCTTGGTTGATGTGAAATTATAATTTTATGCTGGTCAAAGATATGATATTTTCCCATTTTCTGAAATAAAAGTAACATTAGATATAAAACAAAAAGAAAGTATGAAATATGGAATGTTAAATTAAATAACCGAAAAAAAACAACGCGAAAAACCCAATATTAGAACAATTTCCACTGATACATTCAGTTTTCTAGTGTTTATATAAAGGATCATAACTTTAATGATAACCAGTGAAGACTGATGGCTAAGAAAGTATTAAAATTTAAACAATAAGGTAGTGTTATTAAAAGGTTAAATTTTTTTTTAATACAACAGATTAGTGTCTTTGCTTGTTTCTAATTTTTAATATTACACCTATAAATCTGGAAGTATATTAAATCAGTTTACAATTAAGAAGATAAATACACTTTGAAACACTTATCATTTTCATAAAAATTTGGTTGGTTCGAAGACTTTTTCACTCCACTGTTTATATTATTTTTTTTAATCCAAAGTTTATGATGATTTTCGGAAATAACAGAACATCTTTATTTCCTAAATTCCTTAGATAGTTGACAACAATATTCTCCACCTACTACCACCAGTCCACTAGACTTAATATCACCCGTACATATATTATTACAGTAATGCTCGAAATCGGTTTTGTACCAAATATAACCTCCTGTCATGCTCAAATACCATGAATGGGGTAATGTTGGATTCAGAATTTCACGGGGGGTTAGCGAATCGTATTATCCGCTTTTGTTTTTC